TCAAGATCATAGTAGTTCTAGCTCTCAGCAGCAAATCCAACAATCAATAACTAGTGAACAGCAGACTAATAATATTAATGATCAGGTAAAAAAATTAGTTGATTTATTAGGGTTGCAATTACCATTAGCAAATGGAAAAATTACTCTCACAGAGGATCAATTTGAAAAATTAAACCAACGAAATAAAGAAGGTAATACACAGTTATTACAAGCAGCTTTGAATGGTGAAGAGAAAAGTATAGATTTTTTAATTCGATGTGGGATTGATGTAAATTATCAAAACCCAAAAACACAACAAAGAGCTATAGATCTAGCTTGGGAGAACAGTCATTATGATTCTATGCTAATGTTACTAGAAGTAGATTCAATATTTCCTAAGGATTTTACGTTAGATGCCCTTTATCAAGATGATGACATTCCAGAGCAATTAAAAACATTTGTTAGAGCAAGAGAAGAATTACATAAGTGGATTAAAAATAATGAGTCAGAAAAAATTAGAAATTTTGTTTCAGAGCATAAATTATCAAAGTTTTTAAATAGTAAAGATCAATCAGCTTTAGAAATTGCAGCAGAATATGCAAAAGAAGAAATTCTAGCAGCCTTAATTAGTCTTCAATTACCTTTAGCGACAGAAGAAATTACTCTTTCAGAAGATCAACTTAAATTATTAAGGCAAGGAGATAAAGAAGGTAATACATTATTATCAATAGCTGCTAAACATGGGAAAGAAGATAATATAGGTTTTTTAATTCGACGACAGAAGAAATTACTCTTTCAGAAGATCAACTTAAATTATTAAGGCAAGGAGATAAAGAAGGTAATACATTATTATCAATAGCTGCTAAACATGGGAAAGAAGATAATATAGGTTTTTTAATTCGATGTGGGGCTGAGGTAAATTATCAAAATCCCAAAACACAGCAAAGATCTATAGATCTAGTTTGGGAAAATAAGCATTATGCCACTGTATTAGCATTACTGAAGGCAGATTCTGATTTTCCTAATGTACAAGATAAGCCATTTACATTAGAGGAGATTTCTCAAGATGATAATGTTCCAGAGAAACTAAAGTCATTTTTTGAGGAAAGGAAGAAATTATTTACATGGATTAAAGAGAAGAATTTACAACAAGATGAGAAGTTAAAACAGGAAGAAGTTACAAAGTTTATTTCGAATCATGAGTTAGTAGTGTATCTAGAAAATAGCCAAGGTAAATCAGAAATTTTAACTGAAGCTATCAAGGAAGAACAATATGAGATTTATGCGTTTCTTCAATCATCTGATATTACTTTTAAGAATGAACAGGAACAACATGAATGTTTTAAATTACTTAATGATATACAAAAAACTAAGTTACAGAAGGCAATTGACCATTATTTTGTTTCAATCAAGGATGCTCATATTATGTTCTTGGTGTCAAAGTCAAAAAATGCAAGACCCTTAACAAATAGTGAGGAAGAGAGTTTTAAAGAAAAAGTAGAAGGATGGTATCGAAAGCTGGATGAAATTCGTGAAATTTCAACTGTACTTAAAGTTATTGCTGCTCGACACTCAAGTCTAGAAGAGATTATTGTTGATGAAACAAGAGATAGTACTATTGGTACGTGTACTCACAGTTCACATACTACACCAGGGATTACTGATTATGAAGCAGGTCGTATTAATGTGGGGGCAAAGGTACAGGAGTCTGAATTATTAGGTACTTTAGCCCACGAGCTTACACATTTTGCAATGCAAAGGCTGTACGGAAATGAATATAAGTCGTATGATAAATCAGATAATGGTGAGAATTTTGAGAAAATAACTAAGAAAATTCAAGAAACTACAGATCTAGAGCCTATTATTGAAAATGCATTTAAAAACTATGAAGCAGCATATTGGCACTCAGAGTTAATTGTAAGGGTGCCTCATATATTAGCTAAATATGGCGAGGAAGAAGGAACAAAACTACTTTCTACACAAGCGTCAGAGTTGCTTAAGTACTATAAAGAAACAGTAGTTCCTAGCTGTGATAAGTTCGTGCAAGAAAAACATCTCATCCAACCAAGAAATAATGTTGAATTATTAAATCCATATTTAGGAGTAATAGATAACATAAAAAAATCTGGTGTTGAGTTTAAAAATCCTATCGGAATCAAGAATTTTTTATCCCAAAAACAGGAAGGAAATTTTAAGAATTTTCTTCTTATAGAAACTACCAGTACATTATTAAGTAATTGCAATGTTTATCAAGCTTTACAAAAGATACCTGAATATTCAAAACCAAATAGTTATCTCTTTTTGAGACTGGAGCAATTTAAATCAGAGATTTTCAATATTTTTAAATCAGACGCGATTGACTTATTAGTGATGATGTATCCTAATAACAATGAGCAAGTACAGAGTGTATTACAGGACCTTAATAAGATTCTGCCTAACAAACCGGATAAAAAGATTATTTTCATAGTACAAGAAAGCGCTGTGTCTTTCTTAAAAGGAAAATTATTTGACAAATATTTAGATATAAAAGATCTAGAGTTTACATCGAGTGACTTGACGTTTGAATCACAAAAGAAACTTTTAGAGAAAGAAGTAATCTTCCAAGGAGAGAAAATAAGTTTAAATAAATTAATCAATGAAGATCAAAAAGAACTAATAGATACGGAAACATTGACTAAGCTTATTATTGGTGAAGAAGTTAAGATAGGGAATAAATTACCAATTTCCAGTGGTTATGATAGGGATTACTATATAGACCGTATATTTAATTGCCAAGTAGAGATTAAAAAGGAAATACAAAAAGACCAGGATAATAGAAAGTTTCCTGATTTATTAGCTTATACTAAGGAAGAATTTGAACGATTATGTCAACAATATCGACAACATAACATTCATTGGTTAAGTGATGAATCAGGAAGATTAATTTGGCAGGAATCTCAAGGATCTATATCTAATTTAGTAAAATATAGAGAAGAAAATAAACATAATGCTAATTATCAAGTAAAAAGCCATGTAATTGAAGAAGAAAATTTAATAAATGATCGTGATGATAAAATAGTAATTATATCTGATACAGCAGGAATGGGAAAAACTACAGTGCTAACTCATTTATCACAAAAGATAAAAGAAAAAAAATCACATTTATGGGTAGTAAGGATTGATTTAAATGATCACACTAATGAACTAAAAAAAGAGTTAGAGGAGCAAAGTTTTAATCGTGAGGATATAGATAAAGTAATTGATTTTCTAGCAAATAAACTGTTAAAACTTGATACTCCTTTAGAACGGGAATTATTTGAACATAGATGTAAAAATAATGGTAAAGTAGTAATACTATTTGATGGATTTGATGAGGTTAGTCCAGATTATAAAAATGTAGTAATAGACTTACTGCAAACATTAAGAAGGGGCAAAGTAGAGAAGCTGTTGGTTACTACCAGGCCACATATGAGAGCAGCACTAGAGGATAAGTTGGGAGTATTTGCTTACACATTAGAGTCTTTCTCTGAAGATAACCAAATAGAGTTTTTAACTAAGTTTTGGCAAAAGAGCTTAACTAGTGGCAATAAGAATAAACTAAATGAAGATAAACTAAAGACTTATGCTAAGGCTCTAATCAAATTGTTAGCTCGATCAATTAGTGATAAAGAGAAAGAATTTACTGGTATTCCACTTCAAACTAAGATGATGGCTGAAGCCTTTCAAGAACAACAAGAAGGAAAAGAGTGGGAAGGATGTAAGGAGTTTTATTACTCTAACCAAGATCAACCTAAATTACCTAAGAAGCTTGATATAACTAGCTTATATGAACTTTTTATTGATAAAAAATACAATATTTACCGTAAAGATAAAAAGAAAGAGGATATAACAAACCTAGCTGCAAGGAAAGATGATACGGGGCTACGTAAAATATTTGAACAGAATCATAGAAACTTAGCCTTATATACGTTATTTACAAATGAGCAACAAAAAAAACTACTTTTAGAGAAAGAGATAAAAGATATAGAATCCTTCATAAATGAGGTTAAAGAGGGGAGAGAAAGAACTGGAATTATCGATGAAATTATTGAAGGCAAGCCACATTTTATCCACCGTACCTTTGCTGAATATTTTACTGCAGATTTTTTAGTAGGTTGGTTAAAAAAGGCAGCATCTTCTCAAAATCTACAAGGACAAAAGTTTTTTCTAAAAGAGATTTTAATGCAAGCAGATTATCAAGTTATTCGAGCTTTCATTGATGGTCAATTAGAAAGGAATGAATTACCAGATAATAGTCTAAAATATTATGGAAATTTGATTAATAAATTAACCCCTAAATTAACCCCATTTTTAAGTTCTACAAGTAAACAATCATTCCAAAACAACGTGTGCAATGAAGAGGGAGAAACAGCTTTACATGTAGCTTCTAGAGAGGGTAATGTAAAGATTATAGGTTTTTTATTGGATAGTCTTAAGGAACATCCAAGAACTCTCAAGAAATTGATTAATGCTAAAGACAATGATGGTAGGACAGCGCTGCACCAGGCTACTGAATTTGGTAAGTGGGATGTAGTAGAATTACTGATAAATAAAGGAGCTGATGTTAAGGCTAAAGACAATTATGGCAAGACAGTGCTGCACCAGACTGCTGCATATGGTCAGTTAGATGTGGTCAAATGGCTGGTGGAGGAGAAAGGCGCTGATGTTAATGCCAAGGACAACTTGTTTGGTAGAGTGCTGCACAGTGCTGCTGCATCTGGTCAGTTAGATATGGTCAAATGGCTGGTAAATAAAGGAGCTGATATTAATGCTAAAAATAGGTATGGCATGACAGTGCTGCACGATGCTGCTGCATCTAATAAGTGGGATGTAGTCAAATGGCTGGTAAATAAAGGAGCTAATGTTAATGCTAAAAATAGGTATGGCATGACAGTGCTGCACAGGGCTGCTGAATTTGGTCAGTTAGATGTGGTCAAATGGCTGGTGGAGGAGAAAAGAGCTGATGTTAATGCTATAAACTTGTATGGCATGACAGTGCTGCACGATGCTGCTGCATCTAATAAGTGGGATGTAGTCAAATGGCTGGTAAATAAAGGAGCTGATGTTAATGCTAAAAATAGGTATGGCAGGACAGTGCTGCACAGTGCTGCTAAATCTGGTCAGTTAGATATGGTCAAATGGCTGGTGGATGAGAAAGGTGCTGATGTTAATGCTAAAGACAAGCATGGTGAAACAGTGCTGCACTGGGCTGCTGGGGAGGGTAATTGGGAGGTGGTCAAGGCGCTGGTGGAGGAGGAGAAAGGCGTTGATGTTAAGGCTGAAGATAGGTATGGTGAAACAGTGCTGCACAGGGCTGCTGTATTTGGTAAGTGGGATGTAGTCAAATGGCTGGTAAATAAAGGAGCTGATGTTAATGCTAAAAATAGGTATGGCAGGACAGTGCTGCACTTTGCTGCTGCATCATTTACTAGTCAGTTAGATGTGGTCAAATGGCTGGTAGAACAAGGAGCTGATGTTAATGCTAAAGACAAGGATGGCGCAACAGTGCTGCACAGTGCTGCTGCATCTGGTAAGTTAGATGTGGTCAAATGGCTGGTGGAGGAGAAAGATGCTGATATTAGTAATCTTACTTCTTATCAAAGAAATAACTTATTAGAATACGCTAAACAATATGGCTACCAAAATATCATTGACTTACTTAATATTCAACCAAGACCTTCAGGACAACAAAAACAAATCCAGTCTCACGGGAAGCAACAGGTATCATATTTAGATTTAAGTAAATTTATCTCTAGTAACCTTCCTGAGGTAGAGATGCAATCAGTAAAGCAAGGACTATATTTACCGAGTTTTGAATCTAGAGGAGTTAAAATAAACGGTAAATGTGCGGCAATTACTAGGGCTGTTTCTCAGCTCTTGTTCTTGAAGGACGCATCGTTAAACCTGCCGCAACTATTTCTTTCTAATCTCCAGACTTCGGCTGAACTTTATGAGCGATTAGCTCAAGGTAAACAGATATCGGTTAGGGAAGAGAAGGAGATATTTGCCTTAAGTAAGTTATTGGATGGTTTTGAGCAGGAGCTAGATTCACCGACAAGCAGCTTACCTGCTGTTCTTAGTCCAGTTAAAAGCTATAAGAAGTTTGCTGATTTATCTCATTATATTTCTACTCTCACTGGTGACTTTGTTATTCATTTAGTAACCAGTAACCATGTAGTAGCAATCTATCGAGTTGGCGATAATTATGCTTACTTTGATAGTAACGTTGCTTCAGTTACTAATGTAAAAACTGTTGATCAGTTGATGAGGGTTTTA